TTACATTAATCTATCAGAATCCATATTGCRGTTTTAGCAACCGAAATACAAAGACAAAAAAAGTTTTTTTCGAAAGTGTTATTGAAGGTTAATGGGCTGATCCTAAAGTCTAATATTGGGTCGGAAGATTAATGGGATTTGAGGCTTTTTGTCGAAATACAAATAACAATAGATTTCTTTTACTGATTTTCGAATAACATAAGGTTTTGAGGTCCAAAAAATATTTACAAACCTTGAAATTTTTGGAATTACAAGTTGACTACAACATTTGTATATAGATAAATAAAAAATCGTTAAGATATTGAAGACTCGCGAGGTCGAAAGAGTGTTCTTTTCGAGTAAACCCACTGTATATTTTAAAACGTTTAATTATTTATATTGGCTTTCCATTTAAAAAAAAATGAAATTAACTGTTGACAGTGTTCTAAAAAGCATTCTAGGCGTCCGCCTAGACGGCTAGACCGTGGAGATTACCGCTTTTACCGCCTAAAATATTATGGTATTATAATCATAAAATAATATACAATTTCTTATACATAGATCGTAAAATTCGATATATTTTGCTATAAAATGATGAATATAAATATAATATAAAGTTTATTATTTATAAATTATGGTTTTTTTACATATTTTATTATATATACGTAATTTATTATGTATTTTTGTAAAACGTTTAGACCGCTTGTTAAATCGTTTAACCTCCGATTAAGCATTTTAGACACTAGGTATTGGATTACCGTCCGCTTAACGTCTAGCGTTTTCTTGAACATTGGCTGTTGATCTACTTATGGACCTGATGTAATGAGAATCTTTATATAACGCCCCAATAAGGAAATATAAAATATTATTCATTAATAAGAAGAAAAATAGGAATGATGGAGGGGACCATAATAGGCACCCAATTGAGAATAATAATTCATTATTTAGCTATTTAACCCTAAATCATCCGGTGAAAATAACAAGGTCACATCATTAAAGTTTATACAATTATATGCATACCCCCCATTTGTAGAATTCTTAACTAGTATATATTGTCATTTGCCAATACAAATTATAATCTAATCGCATATGACCGTAAGTATTTCATATAAAGAATGACCATGGCAAGTAGGCAAATCAAAGGAAAAAAAAATGATTTATAATGGAGTGTAGGCTCATTATTCGTTAGTACCACTACCTATTCTATTTTTTTGTTTTGTATAATTAAAAATTTAATGTATATTTTGTTTAGTTATGTTGGTTGATATTTGTTTACATAGGCCATTTTGATATTTGATAGTATTTGTTCATGTTATGACTCAAAGTCTAACTACTAATATGGAACCGAGCCCTAATCACTGGAAACTAAATATTTAATAGGTTAAAGTCGCCTATGTGAAAGAAATTAAGACTAGGTTAGAAACCATGAAAAATCAAAATGCTTAATGAATTTGTTTTAAGAAAGTAAAGTTACACTCTTCTCATAATTTTTTTTAGGAATCAATGACTAAAAATGTGAATGGTGATTGATGGTTTTTTTTGTTGCGGTTGGAGCGGTACAATCACAACAATTGCATAAGATCACTATTCCAGAAAATTATATGTTAGAGGCAATCAATTCGTTCAACTTTTTTTTGTTTTTGTTTTTATCAATATTCATTATATGTGCTCTGCTCATTCCATTTATTT